TTTCTGTCCCCAGTTTCTTCTGACTCGCCACATTGCTCACTCCAACTCTGCCTCAGGGCCTTTGCCCCTACGGTGGCTTCCACATACACAGCTCCCCCCTCCCACAGGTATTTACACTCTTCCTACCTTAATCTTTCAAGTTGGTTGTCAGATAGGAGTTCCCTGACCACCCAGTGTCAACATGGCCCTGCCAGGCTCCCAGCCTTCTTCCCTAGCTTTATTTATCTGTTTATCCACAACATGCCTCACCTACATGTAACATTCTATAGTCACGCACCGCATAATGTTTTAGCCAGTGACGGACCACATATGTCACAGGGGTTCCGTAAGATCACATCTCCTAGTGTCATTGGTCGCTGTCTCACTTTGTGTAGGGACACTCAGTGGTGTTCACACCATGACAAAAGGGCCTAAGGATGCATTGCTGGACTGAACCACAGGACTAGACATCATTTCCTTATCCAGTCTGTTTCTGGTCTGTCCCAAGACTAAAATGGAAGCATTGCCCCCTTCCTTGATCTGAATCCTCAACATAAAAACAGTGCCTAGCATGTAGTAGATGCTCAGTAAATATTTGCCAACCCCATGGATGAATCATTCCGCCACACTCCAAGTGGGTGAGCTTGGGAAAGTCAATCATCTGCACCTGTCTGTCACCCAGTCTCTGAAATGCAGCAGGTGACTGGTGGGGAGGAAGAAGACACATAGAAATTTGAAATTGCCACCCCTATTCAATAAATAAATAAAACCTCCCCCCCAAAAAAAAATGATAAAGGGAAAAACCTGACCCACTTTATGACCCCTCACCCATTCCTCCAGGCCTGTAGACTTGCAGTCTGAGGGTACCAGCCCAGGTCTGATTTTGAATTTGAGTTTGCATCTGGTATGGGATGGAGTCCATCGTCCTCTTCTCCACTCCTTGCCCACCTGGTGACCCCCTGGCTAACCCTGTCCCTGGTGGCCTGTCAGTGAACCTTATCCTCAGTTTGCATTCCTTCTGGTGCCCCCAGCCTCCCCTACCCTTCCTCTACATTTTCCGTCTCCGTGGATAATGCACTTTGCATGAAAGCAGCTATTCAGAGCTAAAGGGCAAACAAAAGGAGACCTGCCTAGACCAGGACCGTTCAGAGCGCAGCCCCGCCTCACCAGGAAGTGCTAGGCCTGTTGAGACCTATGAGCAGCCCCCAGATGCCCCACAGATCTCTCCTGAGCCAAGCAGCAGATCCCCTCTCCCCTGGGGCAGGGGCCACATGGTAGAAGTTGGAGTTAGATCCTGGGAGAGCAGAAAACCCACCCGCCTGCCCGCCATGCTGTCTCCTCTGCTGGTCCTTTCCTCCTGATTGATGTCATTTGTGCTGCGTGCTGATGCTGCACCGTGACCCGGTGGAATCCCTCTAATAGGGTCTGATAGGACAGGAAGAAGTGTGGGGGCCATGCAGACCTGAGTGTGTTCATTTAATCAACACATATTGAGCTACCCAGGTGCCACGTTGGGCAGAGGTGATCAAGGCCTCTGTTGAATCTTGCAGTCAGGTGGGATGGGATTGTCTTTTCTTGGGTACTGGGCATGAGCCTGGGTTTCACCTCTCAGGGATGGACCGTTCCCAGCTTTTTCGTGCTGTCCTGAGACCCCTCTGCAGTGACACTTATGGAAGGGCTTGGCCAGGTAGGGGAATCCATCTGTCCACCTTTGACAGCCCTCTGGGATCTGGGCTCCTCTGCCACAGGACTACCTTAAGAAGCTCTAGGGAGCAAAAGAGAGACCTGCACAACAGTGAGATGCAGGGCGCTGCTCTCCTCTGTGACAAGGCACCCCACCACCATTCTATCCCTGTAGACCCCCAGGACAGATCCCCAGAATCCATGAAAGGTACTTGGAGGGACTCAGGTGAGTCATGTGACCTGTCCCAGCTGTGAGGTGCTCCATGTGCCCATTCCAGTTTTCTCTAAGGGGGCTGTCCATTTAAAGAGGAGGAGCTCAGTCCCAGTCAGGACAGGGGCTTGCTTCAGGAAGATACAGAAATGGGAACCTGCACCATTCCCACCGTGGAGACACCAAGAAGCAGACAAAAAAATACCCATGAAATAAATACATGAATAGGTGAATTCTGCAGTGCCTTAGAAAGTTGGTCCAGGCAAAGGGGGACCAACATGTGCACAGGTTCCAAGGTGAGAAGGTACCTGTTGAATTCAAGGAATAGCGAGGGGTTCCACAGTGAGTGAGGGTGAAAGGGTGGGCCACGAGATGGGGGAGGTCTTGGGGGCCTGATTGGATGGGGGGGGTCCCATAAGCTACCAGGAGGACTTTCTCCCTCTGATCTCTCAGACAGGAGGGAGGTAAGTTTGTCCATGCCCTCCAGGACAGACAGCTAATCCAGGATGTGCCAGGGGTTAAGGGGCCCATCTATGACGGGGTTGGTGGTCCCCAGTAGGGGTTTGGGTTTTCTGCCACCAGGCTCAATGGTACCCACAGTGGGCCTTCTCTTGGCTCCCCCAGCAGCCTCAGGACCCAGTCGCCCTTGTTCCCAGTCCCAATAATTAAAGGTGGACACTAAGAATCCCTGTTTAAAAGATGGGGAGTCTCGAGTCCAGAGAGGAGCTGGGGCTGCCCTGGGTCTTGGGGATTCACTTCTGATAGAAAGGCTTGCTCGTTAGGTGGCTGCTTGGGGGGCAGCACTAAGGTCTGGGGAGGGTGTAAGATGCATCATGCCAGTGGTGCCCCACATCTGGCTGCAAGATGCTGATTCCCAGGCAGAGGCTCTGGGCATTCTGAGGACTCTATCTGGGATACAGCCCAGGAATCTGTTCCTATTTGACAGGTTTCCGAGTAACTTTCAGTTCACTGGGGTTCTGATGATGCCTCTGTGTCATCAGGCCCTTACAGTCCTTAACCGATGACCTGGAGGCACCAATATGTATCCATACCCACCTGGAGGCCAGCGGGGACTGAGCCTCAGGCTTCAGGGAGGGCCAGGAGGAAGGTACCCACCCCCACCTGGCACACAATTTTGGGTGCAAGCCCTAAGTGTGAAGTGATAGAGGTCCTGGGGTGTGCTCCTCTCCTGCCAAGCAGGAAGAAGTGGAAGTAGGGACCTAAGAGAATGTGACTGTCTGACCAACGGGACAAAGTGGGGGGGAGCCCTGTCAGTGTGATCCTTGGCGTGGATAATCAGATGGATGGAAAGAAGAGTGGTTGGACGGATGGATGGATGAATGAGTGGATGGATGGATGGATGGATGGATGGATGGATGGATGAATGAATGGAGGGATGGATGAATGAATGGCTGTTTGGGCCGCGAGCAGCCGAAAAAGGGGCGGGCTGGAGAAACACTCAATCACAGCCCTGGGGCTAGGTGACCGCCAGCTCGCCCAGAATCTGGCTTTCCGCGGCCCGCCCGGGGCGCGTAATTATGTGCCCCTGGGGCGCTGGAGTGACTCCCCATACTGGGGCGAACTGGGGTCGCGCCACCGCCGCCCCACACCACGCTCTGGCCTTTAGCGCTCGGGCAGGCCTCCCCTCGGCCGCAGTCCAGCCCCAAGGCCCCCAGTCTTCTTTGTCTCGACCTAGTCCTTGGCTCTTTCCCGGTTGCGACCCGCCTCTCTGGGTGGCCTTACTCGTGTGCTTCTGGGCTCTCCGGGAGTCGTTCCCTGCTGTCCCCATGGCCGTAGGCGTCTTCCCCAGCCAGGCAGGGGCTCCCAAATCCTGTGCCTCTAGGACCTTGGAACCGGGAAGTGGCAGGATCTCCGCCGAGCGGCGTCTCTGGTGCGGCGAGGGGAGCCGCGGAAAGAAGGCCCCCCCTTTCCCTCCGCCTTCCCCTTCCTCCGCTACTACACGTCGCGCTGCGCCTTGACCCCAGCGCTGCTGGTTCGCGCCTTAAGCGGTTCTTCTGCGGCGGTGCGATCCCCGACGCCACGAGGGCTAGCCCCCGCCCTCCAGGCCTCAAACCCGCACAGAGAACACAGCCCCACGGCCGCCGGCGGCTACAGACCATTGCCTCTGGCCAGCCCACAGACCGCACAAGCGCACTGCCCCTCCATGCGCAGCCCACAGCCCCACACAACCGTCAGCCCACTCGCAAACAAGCCCGCACGGGCACCAGGCTCCCCCGGCCCCACGCAGGCACAATCCCATACACACACGCACAACCCCACACAGGCGCATCCCACCCACGCAGCCACACTACCCCCTACAAATAATTGCACACAAATACACCACTCCACGCAGGCACCGCATCACTCAGTCCCGCCGAGACCCAGAAGCACATTCACAAGCTAGTATCCAGCTGCCCCCTCCCGCCCTCCGCAAGCCCCGTGACATTCACACGCAGGGTAAACCAGAAATCTACAGCCACACTGATCCACACAAGGACCTCAACGCACAACCAAAAGCTTACCCGCGGGCTCTTAAGTCACTGAAAAATATTAAAGCGTTCTGTCCCTCCCCTTCGCTTTTTGACGCGCGCGCGCGCGCGCGCACATACACACACACACACACACACACACACACTCACTCACTCACACCCCCAGTCCCTGAGCGCCTCGGAGCCTCGCAGCCGGTGACCCCGAGCCCCAGCGGTGAGAGCCGCGGGAGCGTCTCCCCGGCGCCCCCTCCTCCGGCTGCCTCTACAAGCTCACCACTCCTCCCCGCCTTCTCGTTCCCCGCCCCTCCCCCTCCCCTCCCCTCCCCCGCGTCTGGGGCGCGGGCTGCGCGCAGCCAAGCCCCCTCGTCGCGCGCCCCTCCCCGCGCGCGCCCCGCGACCGCATCGCGCTCGCCGAGTGGATGCGGCCACGGGGCCGTCTCTAATTACCTCCTGTCCCCCGGCGGCCCGTGAATAATGGCTACTGAGGGCGCTCGCAGGGGCTGCTGAGAAGGAAACGCGGGGCGCGGGAGGCGCGGCGCGCGCGGGAGCGCGAGGGAGAGGAGCGAGCCCCCGGCCGCTGCGAGCGGCGGGCGGAGAGAAAGGAATCGTGCGAGCGCTCACATTTTTTTCCTCCCAAGGATCTCATCTGGCCGCCGCGTTCTGCAAGAGGAGAGGGGGAGAGCGCGCGCGAGAGGAGAACAGAGACGGCGGTGGAAAGGGAGACAGCGAGACGCGCAGCGCCGGCGCCCCGGAGACCCAGGAGGAGCCCGCAGGTATTGTTGGTGGCGGAGCTTTGTGTCCTCGGTAGGCCGTTCTGGGCGCGAGGGCTCCCTGAATCCTTGGCCCGCCGCCGTGCTCAGACCTGCCCCGAGTCCTGGGTTGCCGACTAGGGTCGCCACCCTCCGCGGCCACCCCTCCCGCCGCGCCGCGATCTTGGCTGGAGTTGCGGATTTGCCTGATTTGGGGTTTTCCACGCTGGTGAAGGGAATCGGTCTCAGGAGAAGGAATTTCTTTTTTTCCTTTAAAAAAATTTTTTTGGCCGCAGTTTGGTTGTGCTGGGGATTCCCCCCTCCCTTTTTCTCCACAATGCATTGGTGAGCGGTCTTGGCGACAGTGGCCCAGGCGGAAGGCTTGGGGCCGAGATGGCGGGGCTGGTGGCCGCGGAATGGGAGGTGAGGAATGCTGGAGAAGGAAGGAGTTCTGTTCAAGTTCGCCATCTGCGCCCCGGAGCTGGTCGGGCCAGGGAGGGCGGTCCGCGCACCCGGTCCTGCTCCGGGCAACCGGTGGGAAACTTCCTGGGAGCGCGGCCTCCCGGGGGACTCGGCGCCCCCGACGTCTCCCGGCGCTACCTCCGGCCGCCGGGGCCCCTCCTTGCCGCCCTCAAGTGTTTAAGGTCGCGCTTTCCCCACCCCCACCTTCCTCCCTCCCCCAGCGGCTTCCGGATCTGGACAGAGCAGCTTCAAACACTTCCCCCGGAGACCCCTCCCCATTGCCCGCACAGAGCTTTCCTGGACCCCCCCTGCCCGCGTCCCCGTCTCGCGCGCCGCGGAGTGGCCCGGCTGACAATGAAATCTCGCGCCTCTGCCGTGGTGGGGGGGAGAGGGGGTCGTGGCTCAGTCCCTCCTGGGGCCGCTGACCCTGGGCCCCGGGCAGGGGGAGGGGGAAGGGTCTTGTTTGGGTTGGGAGACGTTGACGTGGGATGGCGCCAGGGCTGGGGGCACGCGGGGGAGGCGGCGAGGGGATGGGGTGAGCTGCCAGGGGTCGTGGATTCTCGACCCGCTAGGGCAGGGCGATTGGCAGTTGCCCTGGGGCACGTCGAGGGCCCCCTCTAACCTCAGCCTCCTCCCCTCCTGTACAATGCGGGTTTAGAGAGGTGATCCCGAGGGTGATGTGCTGGTGTGACGAAGTGTTTGTCTCCTGCGATCCACAGCAGACGCGGCTGCTCTGATGACCCGGAGATCCGGAGGCCTGTGCCCCTCCCTCGGGGGTGGGCAGATGAAGGGGGAGGGCAGTGGTGGGAACAACTTTTTTTTTTCCCCACTGGGGTCATGGGAAGGGAGGGTTAAGTCAGAGAATTTCTGGGGACCGCAGTCATGAAGGGGGGGCACGGATTTAAGGGGGGGGTCTGCCGGATCAGAGCCTTCTGGACACTCCAATCTCCTAGATCCTTTTGCTTCTTTAGGGGTGAACGAGTGAGGGAGGTGCAGAGGTGTGGGGTAGCTGGACATGGGGGAGGGGTTCATGAAAATCAACCTTAATTGGATTCCCAGGCAGGCAGCCCAGGGGGTCTGGGTGACTCCTCCCCTTTTTTTTTCGGGGGGTGGGGTGGGGTGGTGGGGAGCCAAATCCAGAGACCTCAAGCTCTCAGTCCAGGCTGGTGAGAACCATTTTCTTCCTACCTAAAAAGAAGATTCCTGGGGGAGTGGGGAGGCATCCTGAAGGGCAGGGGGCTGGACTGTGTTCAGCCTGTTCTCTCCTTCAGTCCAGGAATAGAAGGAGTTAACCCTCCCCCAGAAATCTGTCAGCCCCCCACACAGCAGGGACACATTGTTGGACCCTCTGACATGCTAACAGTGTGACACAGGCTGACAGCAGTGAGCAGATTCCAGACCCTGTATTCCCCCCTTCACAGCAGCCAAACAGGACCTGGCCGGGTGGTTCCTGGTTGGGGGACTTTGAGGGAGGCGGAAATCAGAGCTCAGAGAGCCTCTCACCGCCAGGCTGTGGACTTGTGGTCCAGAGGGAAAAGGGGGTCACCCGCCAGGTCCCCTGGGAGCTGAAAGGGTGCCGGGGAATGTGAGGTGGAGGACTAGGTTCCGAGGGCTTCTGGACCAGTGGGCTCCTTTGCTGATATCGGCTCAGCTCCCTACCCCTGCCCTCACCACCATCAGAAGGCCTGGCCCTGAAGGGTAACTTTCTGACCCCTTGGTTGGACTGAGACCCTAGCAGTGGAGGGCTAGCTGGGGGAGGGTGGCCGGAGGCAGGATTGAGAGCTGCCCATTGCTTGGCCCTGGGGCACAAGCCCTTTTAGCCTGGGTTTATGGATGCCACCTTCCCTTCTCCTGGAGGGTAATCTCCATTTCCTGGAGGTGAAAGCAGTTCGCTGAGAGCCCCCCAGGGCCATGCACGCTGCGGACACTCGCGGTGTCCTGTGTTTGGCAGGAGTGAATGGATGGGTACCGGATGAATGAATTGATGAATGAAAAGGGAAAGTTTTCTCAATCGGAGGCATCTAGTCATTGTTTAGAAAAAAAGAAGTGTTTTTTGGATTTGTGTGTTTTAAAATGGGGTTCCCAGAGAACCTGAAAAATGGAGAGAAACAAACAACAAGGGTTTATTGACAGCCCTAGCGGGCTCCGGCGACGCTAACGTTTTGATGTGAGTCTTCCCAGGCCAGTTGGACGTGGTGGTTGGTCGGTTTTTTAAGGGCTGTGTCGTCATTGCCTATATTCACATGTATATCCTGCCTTTTTTTTTTTTTTTTTTTTTTGCTGGTGACAGCACCAGCCTTTTCCTGTTTTGTAACCAACTCTTCATAAACACCACGGCTAATGTCTTCAGGCTTTTCCAGTCGAGTGGATGTACCATAATTTACTTAATATTCCCCTTTTGTTCAACATTCTGGATGCTCCTGACGAATGAGGCCGTGGATGTGTTTTGTGAGGGAGCCTTTCCTTAGGCTGAAGACGATTTCCTCAAAATGCTGTGCTTCTGGTGCCCACAGCTCTGACGGGCCTGCGGTGCCAGGAAGGAGAGCGCCTCTCTTTTTTTCCCAGGATAAGTGGGACACCGTTCTTCCTTCCCCACAATCTAGAAACTTCCACCCGAGCCCAAAAAGGAGCATTGGCGATGAAATCACCTGTCCGACTTCCCTCCTTTGACCGAGGAGGAAACCAGAACTCAGAGAGGGGAAGTGAGTCCCCAAGGTCACACAGCAGTCACTGGGCTGTGCAGCAGGAGCCAAGAACCAGCGACTAATCTGCCTTTTTTTTTTTTTTTTTTTTTGCCTCTGCAAATGGTCCCTGGTGGTCCTCTAGTTGGACCATGCCCATTTCACAGAGAGGGGAACTGAGACCTCAAGGGAGGAAAAGCACCAGCTGATCCTTAGCGGTGCCAAGGCATTCTGTGTCATATGCACTTCTGTGTCCTTAGACCTGGGGCCACCCATGGGCTTCCTGTCTCTTTTCACAGCTCCCTTTGCCATTCCATTTTCCATTTCTCCCCCCACCCCCTTTCTTAGTGGAGCTGGGGGTCAAGCCTGGTCAGTGTGCGTGTTAGGCCAGGGCTCTACCTGACCTCCATCCCCAGCCCTTGCCATCCCCGTTTCCAGAGGGAAGAGCTGAGGACCCAGAGTAGATGCAGTGAGAGGGGGGTGGGCTGCAGTTTCCAAGGGACCCTGGTGGTGCCTCTTGTGCCTCAGTTTACTTGTTCAGGAGCCAGGGGCAGGTGTTGGCACAGACCCTGTGTGTGTGGCGTGGGGGAGTGGGGAAGGACCCGGAGGCCCCCTGGGGGAGAAGGAAGGAAGGAGAGGAGGACTTGGAGAAAGGTAGACAGAAAGAGATTCAAATGCTGGAAGGAAGAAAGTGGGGGAAGGAGAAAGTAGGAAAAGAGAAGAGATATGTCAAAGTAAAGAAGAGAGAAACATGCCCTCCCCACCCCCCCCGCTGGGTGACATTACTTCCAGCAGGGGTGTGGGGCGCGTCAGAGCTGGCCAGGACTGGACACTGTGGATTGGGCTCTGCAGCTGTTTGGGAGACAGATGAGCAGCATCTGGGGGTCAGAAGGAACCAGACTTAAGTGGGTGTCATACATAAAACCAGGGGTGGTGGCTTCTCTGTTCTCCGAGTCCGCCGTGGGACAGGAGGCAGGGCACTCCAATTCAGGGGCTTAGGGATATTTGTGGGGTGCAAGGGTAATTGTGGCTCTGAGTCCCCATCTGAGGACAGTCCTTTTGCTCCTTTCCCTGATGGCTTGCCAGCCGTCAAGGTTAGGAGAAACCCTGCTATGAGTGTGTCAGCATTTGGACATTTCTGTGATGTGTCTCTCTGCAAGCAGGTGCTCATCTGTATGTGTGTGTGTGTGTGTGTGTGTGTGTGTGTGTGTGTGTGGTGTGTCTGGGTGTCTCTGTCTTGGGGGGGATGACTGTGTGTGCATATGTGCATGTCTTTGTGCTTCTGATTTTTTTTTTCCTTTTGTATATTTCTTAAGGGGTCTGTGTGTGTCTCCCAGCTCAGGCATGTGCTGTGCATACATGCCTGTGTGTTTGTCTAGGTGAGTCTGTGGTGTTCCCTGTTGTCCTCTGCGTTGGGGGTGCATGCACATGTCTGGTGCATCTCCGATCCCGCTTGTGCATTTCAGGGGGGTGTGCCCCAAGCTTGTGTGTGTGTGTGTGTGTGTGTATGTGTGTGTGTCTGTGTGAGCACACGCTTCCCTCCTAATGGCCCCACCAGAGATCCAGGCACCAGGCTCTTGTGCTCTTCTCAAGGTTGCGGCTGGGTGGCTTAAAGCAGGGGACAGCCTTTGGCTGGGGGAGGGAAAAGAAAATCTTAAAAGACCATCTTCCCTGTGGTCTCCAAGGAGATCAGCCTGTGAAATGATCCGCACGTTAATTAAAAACGATTATATCCTGATTGAGCCATTTCTGCTCACATCCCCCAGTCGGGGAGAGAATGAGACTGACACCAGAGGATGCAGGGTGGGCCCGGGCCACCACACGGCACAGCCAGAGTGAGCCCCCAGCTCACAGGGGGGGCAGAGGCTCGGAGGGCACGAG